AACCTTCTGAATTCATGTCAGAATGATTCGCCATGTCAACTACTGTGACCTGTCCCCTGGCCCAGTTAGGTAAATCGCTGCTGCTAGATTTCACATAAACATTCACTGCTCGAATTGGCTAATCCCGTCGTTTGGCTGCTGCAAATCTCCTGTGGCCCAATCATGCGCGCGGAGCAAGCAAGTCACCTAGTTTAATTATTCATTTGAGTAGGATTTCGGGTTTTTTGAAACGCTCAGTTTTTGCAGCGAGCTTTTTCTCTTAGGGCTTGCGAGATATCTGCGTGCACACATATCTCTTCAACATTGCGCGCCTCACAGGAATGCGGCTGAATCACGTGCGATTGTGAGTGAGGTACCCCCAGTTTGAAGATTCGGCTGTAGAATTGTAGTTTTAAATACGTAGTTTGACGTAGATCTCGGAAAGTGAGATACGGCCAGAAATGAGTGTGGGTACCTCCGTCCTGAAGATTATGATCGGCGCCGATTGAAATAAGTCGCCGTGCATATCTCGGCTTATTGACGACCGATTGACACGGGACAAACACCGATCGATACCAAATGGCTCTGGGGGGGGGGGGGGGATAGAGTGGCAAGTTTTTCTACCCGACGAACCCGGAATTATCCCGAGGGTGTAGGGGTGGGAGTAGAGTCGGGGGAACAAGGGGGGGGGCGAGTGCAAGTACCAAGTACTTTCGCAAGTACCAAGTACCAAGTACTTATGGAAATACCAAGCAAATACCAAGTACTTTGGCAAATACCGAGTACTTATGCAAATACCAAGCAAGTACCAAGTACTTTGGCAAGTACCGAGTACTTTGGCAAGTACCAAGCAAGTACCAAGTACTTTTGCAAGTTCAGCAAGTTTTTCGCCAATATCGAAGCTTCTAGACGTCCGATCGTCACCGGAAAAACACCATTCGATCCCAAATTTTCTCCCGAATCTTTTTATGGCCAAAGCGACGCGGAGCGAGCCAAGATATCTTGTTTAGTTATTCATTTGAGTAGGATTGCGGGTTTTTTGAAACGCTGAGTTTTTGCAGCGAGCTTTTTCTCTTAGGGCTTGCGAGATAGCTGCGTGCACACATATCTCTTCAACATTGCGCGCCTCACAGGAATGCGGCTGATTCACGTGCTTTTGTGAGCGAGGTGCTTCCCTCCGGGAGAAATTCGCCGTCCCCATATGCTTAACACAGAGCCGAGCGGCGGCTGACAGGTGGCCGGCTCTCGGGAGATCGGCAGCCGACACTCGAAAAATCGACAAGCCGCCGCTGAATGCGCGTGCGGCAGTGCTGAGCCGAGTCGTTCCCACGGTCTGAGGTACCCCCAGTTTGAAGATTCGGCTGTAGAATATGTAGTTTTAAATACGTAGTTTGACGTAAATCTCGGAAAAGTGAGATACGGCCAGAAATGAGTGTGGGTCCCTCCGTTCTGAAGATTCTGATCGACGCCGATTGAAATAATTCGCCGTGCATATCTCGGCTTATTGACGACCGATTGACACGGGATAAACACCGATCGATACCAAATGGCTCTGTGTGTGTGTGTGGGGGGGGGGAGTAGAGTGGCAAGTTTTCCTACCCGACGAACCCGGAATTATCCCGAGGGGGTAGGTGTGGGAGTAGAGTCGGGGGAACGGGGGGCGAGTGCAAGTACCAAGTACTTTCGCAGTACCAAGCAAGTACCAAGTACTTATGGAAATACCAAGCAAGTACCAAGTACTTTGGCAAATACCGAGTACTTATGCAAATACCAAGCAAGTACCAAGTACTTTGGCAAGTACCGAGTACTTTGGCAAGTACCAAGCAAGTACCAAGTACTTTTGCAAGTTCAGCAAGTTTTTCGCCAATATCGAAGCTTCTAGACGTCCAATCGTCACCGGAAAACACCATTCGATCCCAAATTTTCTCCCGAATCTCTTTATGGCCAAAGCGACGCGGAGCGAGCCAAGATATCTTGTTTAAATATCCATTTGAGTAGGATTGCGGGTTTTTTGAAGCGCTGAGTTTTTGCAGCGAGCTTTTTCTCTTAGGGCCTGCGAGATACCCGCGGAAACACATATCTCTTCAGCATTGCGCGCCACACAGGAATGCGGCTGATTCACGTGCTTTTGTGAGCGAGGTGCTTCCCTCCGGGAGAAATTCGCCGTCCCCATATGCTTAACACGGAGCCGAGCGGCGGCTGACAGGTGGCCGGCTCTCGGGAGATCGGCAGCCGACACTCGAAAAATCGACAAGCCGCCGCTGAATGCGCGTGCGAAGATGAGCGGGGTGCCGCCGTTCCGGAGAGACGGCTGGAAAATTCCACCGGCCGGCCCGGCGGCAGTGTGTTGGGCGGCGGGCGGCGGGGCGGGGTTTCCCCGTCCAGCGGCCGGCAGCGCTGAGCCGAGTCGTTCCCACGGTCTGGCGGCCAGCTGGGTGGGGGCGGGGTGGGGAGTGGGGCGGCCGATTGCCAGCCGCTTCTCCACGGGTAGGTGCTGCCACCTGCGCAGTAGTTCCACTGGCGGCCGCCAGGCCCGTGTGCGGGCCGTGCGCGGTAGTTCCGCCAGCGGCCGCCAGAGGTCACGCGCGTCGTGTCTAACCTGACGAAGCTACAAAAAGTTAGATAACTTTGATAAGAGGGACGGTAAAGCCACAATTCCAACGCTGAATGTTGGGCAAAAGCAAAGGGATCCAACACAGCCATCTGTATTTACTGTATTTACCCTTTTCTGTCAGCGATAAGCCCCAGCAATCGCACCGCTGTAAAACTCGCAAGCTGTTCACCGTGCAGGGTATTGCATTATAACCACCCACCGGCACTCTCTACGTATGTGTAATCGCTTAATAGGTAGGACGCTAAAACAAGTTAGAAATGATAGGTAGGTGAAACAAAATACAAATTGGGAACAAGTATAATCAAATTACAAATAATTCATTGGAACAAATCAAAATTATCTGAGACCAAGGCAAATTCGCAAAGTCTTTGATCGACTAAAGACGTCTGATTTAAACGTCGGAAAGGAACAAGTTCTTTGCGGTATTTAGGCAAGTAAATACCAAGTACTTTGGCAGGTTTTCAGTACATTAGCAAGTTTTCAGTACATTACCAAGTAGCAGGTGATACAGCAAGCTGGCAGGTACTTTGGCAGGTTCAACAAGTTTTTCGTGAATATCTAAGCTTCTAGACGTCCGATTAACACGGGACGAACACCAATCGATCCCAAATTTTCTCCCTCATACTTTGATTGCCAAAGCGACGCGGAGCGAGCCAAGATATCTTGTTTAAATATCCATTTGACTAGGATTTGGCGTTATTTGAAACGCTCAGTTTTTGCAGCGAGCTTTTCCTGTTAGGGCCTGCGAGATACCCGCGGAAACACATATCTCTTCAGCATTGCGCGCCACACAGGAATGCGGCTGATTCACGTGCTTTTGTGAGCGAGGTGCTTCCCTCCGGGAGAAATTCGCCGTCCCCATATGCTTAACACAGAGCCGAGCGGCGGCTGACAGGTGGCCGGCTCTCGGGAGATCGGCAGCCGACACTCGAAAAATCGACAACCCGCCGCTGAATGCGCGTGCGGCAGTGCTGAGCCGAGTCGTTCCCACGGTCTGAGGTACCCCCAGTTTGAAGATTCGGCCTTAGAATATGTAGTTTTAAATACGTAGTTTGACGTACATCTCGGAAAAGTGAGATACGGCCAGAAATGAGTGTGGGTCCCTCCGTTCTGAAGATTCTGATCGACGCCGATTGAAATAATTCGCCGTGCATATCTCGGCTTATTGACGACCGATTGACACGGGATAAACACCGATCGATACCAAATGGCTCTGTGTGTGTGTGGGGGGGGAGGGGGTAGAGTGGCAAGTTTTCCTACCCGACGAACCCGGAATTATCCCGAGGGGGTAGGTGTGGGAGTAGAGTCGGGGGAACGGGGGGGGGGGGGGGCGAGTGCAAGTACCAAGTACTTTCGCAAGTACCAAGCAAGTACCAAGTACTTTTACAAGTACCAAGCAAGTACCAAGTACTTATGCAAATACCAAGCAAGTACCAAGTACTTTGGCAAATACCGAGTACTTATGCAAATACCAAGCAAGTACCAAGTACTTTGGCAAGTACCGAGTACTTTGGCAAGTACCAAGCAAGTACCAAGTACTTTTGCAAGTTCAACAAGTTTTTCGTGAATATCTAAGCTTCTAGACGTCCGATTAACACGGGACGAACACCAATCGATCCCAAATTTTCTCCCTCATACTTTGATTGCCAAAGCGACGCGGAGCGAGCCAAGATATCTTGTTTAAATATCCATTTGAGTAGGATTGCGGGTTTTTTGAAGCGCTGAGTTTTTGCAGCGAGCTTTTCCTGTTAGGGCCTGCGAGATACCCGCGGAAACACATATCTCTTCAGCATTGCGCGCCACACAGGAATGCGGCTGATTCACGTGACAAACTCGATGGCGGTCCCTCCGTTCCGGAGAAAAATTACCGGCCGACGGCTGGAAAATTCCACCGGCCGGCCCGGCGCCGGTGTGCAATGTGCATGTACATATGATAAGCGTAACGCATTTATAAATCGTGAAATCGTCTTTTTTTTCTCAATACACGATGCTGCCGAGATACACGAGCGCTTTATGCCGATCATCTCCCGTCTGCAACTTCCGTGACGGGCCGTCTGCTCGGCCGCGGCGCCGGCGTCCGCCCGTACTAGATCGGCCGGTTTTCGTCACCGGACGAGCCCGGACTCGCCAAAAATTCAGGTAAGTTGGGGCCGACAGAGGGTGGAATTGATTGAGGGACGATCGAAAAACATGATACAAATAATAGGTAAAACATTTTGCAAGTAGGACTCGAAAATCTCTAATCGTACGATTTCCGTCAGAACCGGGTTCGACAAATGTTTGCTCCAGCTGCGGAGAGCAAACTGCGTCACTATAGTTACATACCATAATACGATAGAGGGACTGCAAAGTAAGACATAGTTTAGCTCTAAAAAGTAGAAAAATATGGCAAGCATTTCTGTGTAACAAAGTATTCATGAACTCCTTCAAATAGGCATTTCTTTTAATACGCTTAATATTCATCACTAAATCGGCCGTTGTGTTTGGACCGAGGTGAGCTTGGTGGTGGATGCGTCACAATGATTTAGATAAAACATTTTGAATTTGGAGGGTGTTAAGATTACATATGAATGCCAATTGACCTTGAGAGCTGTTGTTAATTACTGGGATGATTTTTCAAAGGTGGTTTTGGTGCATAAAGGCTTATTTATTACGAAAAATGCAAGTGGCGCGGCTAACGTGGCGCGTGCATGATTGCCTTTAATTGAAGTGATTTATCCTAATATTTTGCCTCATGAAACAATTTGAAGCAAAAGTTTAGTTTTTGCCAGTTTTTATTAGTCTGCTGCTTAAAACATTTTGAACTTTTTTAATATGGTGATGGTGAAACGTGATGTTAGGAACTTGAAAAGCAGTTACCTAGCAGGTTAAAGCCGCCCTCTGAACCCGGGGCTCTAAATGTGCATAAAACCAACAGAACAGGTGTGGCGTCAGCAGAAATGCAAAAGCTGAACCCTTCCCTTCTAATATGACCTTGCCATTCCCAATGTAACTAAGCCTTATTTGGCCCAGCGGATGGTCAGGTGAGTCATAAATATTTTTTTTAAAATAAAAAGTATTGTGAGTATCAATGCGTGATGTTATTTTCCAATCTTAGAAGGATGTTTTCATATTTTATTGCCTGAATTCATTCAGTTTCTGCTTTGCAAAGGGTGGAAAAGGTAGTTGGAGCTGCAGCGCTCAGCTAACTGCATGATTTACTTCAAAGTACAAAGATAGGGCTGCCTGCTCCTTTTTTGGCACATTTGTTCAAAAATTTCCTGTTAGACAGGAGACATTTAAAGCCGCCCTCTGAACCCAGGGCTCTAAATGTGCATAAAACCAACAGAACAGGTGTGGCGTCAGCAGAAATGCAAAAGCTGAACCCTTCCCTTCTAATATGACCTTGCCATTCCCAATGTAACTAAGCCTTATTTGGCCCAGCGTATGGTCAGGTGAGTCATAAATATTTTTTTTAAATAAAAAGTATTGTGAGTATCAATGCGTGATGTTATTTTCCAATCTTAGAAGGATGTTTTCATATTTTATTGCCTGAATTCATTCAGTTTGTGCTTTGCAAAGGGTGGAAAAGGTAGTTGGAGCTGCAGCGCTCAGCTAACTGCATGATTTACTTCAAAGTACAAAGATAGGGCTGCCTGTTCTTTTTTTGGCACATTTGTGCAAAAATTTCCTGTTAGACAGGAGACATTTTGGTTCTCTCCAGTCAGTCATCAGTTGCTATAGAAGCTGGACCTAATTTAAATTTGCAGAACGTAACCTGTCTTGACCAAATCTGACCTAACATAACTCAACCTTACCTTGCTCGGGGTGGTGGTTTGGTACATAAAATGTTTGTGTAAAATGTATTGTGAGTTTTGATGTGTGGTGTCACTTTTGGAACTTGGAGGATGAGTTTTTTTTCTTTTCTCTCTTAAATTACTGAATTTCTTCAGTGTTTGGAGGTTGCATAAGGCAGTGATAGCAGGAAAAACATGACATTTTCGATCTATATGTCAGTGTGTGACTGCATCCGTCATTGAAACGTAGGTTGCACAGTAGATGTTCTCTAGGGGCTAGGTGCTAGATGTGAGTTGTTGGCTATTTTTCTACCTTTATTACATCTGTAAACAGTGTTGATATAGCAACAGCTGCAATCAGCTGTCAGCTGATTGCATAATGTTCTTGAAAGAGCGAAGTTAGGACCACCTGTTGTTTTTCGACTCGACTCAACTAATTTTGAATTTTAACTATTTAAACTGGGATGAGTCATGTGGTAGTAGCGCCTGATTGATTTGGTTAAATGCTTTGAATGTAAATGAAAGGCTTAAAAATAACATTCTAATAAAGAATTGATATATCATTGCAAAGGTGGCTGCTATGGTGCTAAATTATTGCTTGAATTTGAAATTCATCTCTGTGTTTGAACTCAGGCTAGCAGCATTGTGGTAGTGCGCCAGACTGTTATAACTAAATACTTAAATCTGTAATTAAAATTATAAAATTATTATAATCTAACATAAAGAACTGACGCTGGCAGATGGATTGTGTTTGGTGTTTGTCTATTGATAAGACAGTATTACCCATGTGCCCTCTCCTAGCAGATTCTGATTGTAATCCCGTAGTGCCTGATTGATTTGGTTAAATGCTTTGAGTTTAAATGAAAAGCTTAAAAAATATTATTCTAACAAAGATTGATAATGGCAGAGGTGTGGTAAAAAATAATATTCTAACAAAAAATTGATAATGGCAGAGGCGTGGTAGTTGTGGATTGCAGGCACTAATGTGATCTTGAAAAAGATATCGGTCAGCAGGACCGACCGACCGACCGACCGACCGACCGACCGACCGACCGACCGACCGACCGACCGACCGACCGACCGACCGACCGACCGACCGACCGACCGACCGACCCGACCCGACCCGACCCGACCCGACCCGACCCGACCCGACCCGACCCGACCCGACCCGACCCGACCCGACCCGACCCGACCCGACCCGACCCGACCCGACCCGACCCGACCCGACCCGACCCGACCCGACCCGACCCGACCCGACCCGACCCGACCCGACCCGACCCGACCCGACCCGACCCGACCCGACCCGACCCGACCCGACCCGACCCGACCCGAATTTTGAATTTTAACCATTTGAACTGGGGTGAGTCATGTGGTAGTAGTGCCTGATGGATTTGGTTAAATGCTTTGAATGGCTACAGTGTGGGCGGCAGTTCGACCCGAGGCAGGCCAGCACTGCAGCTGTGGAGCCGACATGGGGTCGCCGTGTGGTTAGAGAAGCGATCGAAATTCGAGTGTGCAATCCGTCTTTAAACCAGGGCGTGGGTAAATTCTCGCTTAGCCCCATATGGGACAGTGCTCTAAAACAGTAGTTTTTCTTTGGAAGAGGAAGTGTACCTATTGGCTATGTTTTACATATGAGAATAGGCAAGTTGTGCGTCACGTGCTGGATATTTAGAAATTTGATTGATGTGTTGCGAAAAATGGCTACCTGATTTTTGTCTGTTTTAAACCTATGTGTGCCCCATCGAACGGGACCAATAATAACTTTTACCCACTATCCAGTGAAAGTCCGTTAAAACAATTTCAAACAGTATTACCCTTTTGCCTCCTCCTAGCAGATTCCGATTGTAATCCCGTTCCTTTGTTCCATTTCCAGAATTGCTCGCAATGTCGGGTCAAACACCTCCGCCAACGTCGCCGAGTCGCCCGACCGCCGCCGACCCTCCGGGGCCAGCGCCGGAGACGGTGGCACGGCGCGCTGACGGTCTGATGGTCGATGGCGATGCAGCTGAACCCGCAAACGGTCAACGTAACGGTCAGTCCGTAGATCCGACGGTGAACGCCGCGGCCGCGAGACGGGCGCGTGATCGCGAGCGTCGTCGCCTCGCCCGAGAGCGAGAAACTGAGGCTGAGCGACTTCTTCGCCTGCAACGTAAACGTGAAGGCCAGGCTCTGGCGCGCGCTAGACAAAGAGATCAGACAGGTGGCGCGGGCCCTTCCCATCAGGCGGTAGTCGATGCAGTGCCGGTTCCCGGTCCATCGGGGGCCCAGCCGCCGGTCATCCTTGCCGCGGATATCGCTGCCGCGCGACGCGAGCGTGACCGGGAGCGTCATCGACTTAGGAGGGAGCGTGAATCGGAGGCTGAGCTCGCCGAGCGTCAGCGACGCAATCGTGAGAGAATGGCTACGGCTCGCACTAAGGTCAGGACAGGGAGAGACGGCGCAGGTCTTGAGCCACCTGTTGCTGCTGGTGTGGCGGATCAGCCGATCGCACCACCGACTGCGTTTGAACCGCCGGTGGTGGGCGGTGTCGCGGACGTCGCGCCCGGCGCGGAGGCAGTGGGCGGCGCTGTAGGAGAGGTGGCAACGCACTCGCCCGATGGTGCTGTAGATGCTGTCGAGGCGACAGTAGCCGATGCGCCAGACGACGCAGCGGCGCGCCGGCCCGCGGCCGATGCGCCCGACGCGGAGGCAGTGGGCGGCGCTGTAGGAGAGGAGGCGCCCCACACGCCCGATGGTGCTGTAGACGCTGTCGAGGTGGCAGCGGTCGATGCGCTAGACGGCGCAGCGGCGCGCCGGCCCGCGGCCGATGCGCCCGACGCGGAGGCAGTGGGCGGCGCTGTAGGAGAGGAGGCGCCCCACACGCCCGATGATGCTGTAGACGCTGTGGAGGTGGCAGCGGTCGATGCGCTAGACGGCGCAGCGGCGCGCCGGCCCGCGGCCGATGCGCCCGACGCGGAGGCAGTGGGCGGCGCTGTAGGAGAGGAGGCGCCCCACACGCCCGATGATGCTGTAGACGCTGTGGAGGCGGCAGCGGTCGATGCGCCAGACGGCGCAGCGGCCCGCCAGCCCGCGGCCGATGCGCACGACGCGGAGGCAGTGGGGGGCGCTGATGGACAGGCTCCGGTGGACGCGCCCGCCCGTCGTCGAGGCGACCAGCACCTGCTGGCTCGCAATTATGTCCCCGCCGAGTTCGAGCCGCCGGCTGGCATGCAGCTGGGCCGAATGGACACCGTCTGTGCCCATTGTGGAGCGCTGCGCTGGCGTGCCGAGCCCGCAGGCGCCTGTTGCCATCAGGGCAAGGTGCAGCTTGACTTCCATCCCCCGCGCGGACGAGATGGTGGAGCTGATGACCCCCGGCACGGCGTTCTATGACGAGTTTCGGGGCAAAATTCGCGCTTACAACACGGCCTTCCAGCTGGCCAGTATGGGGTGCAACGTCGTCCGACACGAGGGCGTATCACGCGGCTTTCACCGTTCAGGGTAGCGTGTGTCATCGTAGGGATCTCTACTGCCCGCTCGCGGCGCGAGGAGAGTTCATGCAGGTGTATTTCCTCGACGCAGACGAGCCACCGCGCGACGTGCCACCATGTGTGGCGGCCTCGACAGAGCCGTTCTCGACATCCTTTTGGGCATGCTGCACGAGCACAACAACTACGTGCGTGCGCTCCAGCGGCTCTGCTGATGGCGCGCGGTGTGCGAACTGCCGGATCGTGTTGTCGGCCGAACACCGGCCGCTGTCGGAGCACGAGCGCCGGTTCAATCTACCGATCGGTCGCGAAGTGGCGGTCCTGATGCCAATGAGATGGGGGGCCGGCGCGCAATCGTCGTTCGCGAGCGCGGCGGAAACTGTTCCGCATCGACGAACTGAGCCGCCAGTACGACCGCTGTCTAGTGCTGCTGCACCCGCGCGGCACGGACGGGTGGTCGCTCGAGCTGAAGGCCGAGCGCGGCGTCACAATCCGTCAGTATGGTGCGTTCCACATGCGCTTCCGACCGGGTCATTTCAATCTCATTCCGCGAGGGGGCCGGCTGTTTCAACAGTACTGGTGGACACTGAGGCAAAAGCTGAGTCGAGTCGTCTGTCGTATGTGCGCGCGAACCAGGCGGCTTCAACGGCTTCCGCGCCGAGACCATCCGCGGCGTGCGAGACGCGCTGGCTGACGGCGAGGAGCACGGCCGAGCCGTCGGACGGCGCGTGGTGCTGCCGGCATCCGTAACGGTAGTCGCGCTTCATGATGGCCAAACTACAAGACGCTCTCTGCTACGTTCGAGACTTTGGCGCCGCCGACTTTTTCATCACCGTGACGTGCAACCCGGCCTGGCCAGAGATGAGCAAACTCTGCGCACCCTCTACCCGGGAGAGAGGCCGGGCGACTACGATCGGCCGTGCGACACCCTGACGTTGTCAGTCAGGTGTTTGACCTCAAGCTGCAGGCGCTGCTGAAGCAGCTGCGGGGCGGCATCCTGGGTCGACAGCGGGCCATTGCACACGATGAGTGGCAGAAGCGTGCCTGCCGCACGCTCACCTTCTGCTGTGGGTCGTGCCCGCCGAAAACCTCGCGCGAAGACGTGGACACGTGGGTGTGCGCTGAGCTGCAGATCCCGAGCCGATCCGGAACTGCACGGATCGTCTGCACCAAGATGGTGCAGCGGTCACGCCCCTGCAGGCGAGCTGAACGAGGCGGTCTGCATGAAGGACGGCCGCGTAGCCGTCGGCTATCCGCGCCCGTATCTGGAGGCCACAGAGCCAGCGCAGCTATCCAGTACAGGCGGCGCGCGCCGGAGGACGGCGGTCACGGCGCGGACGCCGGCCCCCGGCGCGGTGTGGAAATCGACAACCGCGGATCGTTCCCTACAATCCGCACATCCTTCGCGCGCTGGACCACACGTCAACGTCGAGTGATCAGCACGCGATGGGAGCGATCCGCTACTGCATCAAGTACGTCAC